AGTCAAAGGAGAGGAGGGAAACAGAGATATCTAATAGATCTATGGACTCTTTGTCATGTTGAAACGGAATCGGTAAAACTTGCTAAATAAGAAAGTAATATTTCAGCCAGTGTTAACGCGCATGTAGGGATGTGTTTATGAGTTATGGATGTACTGTACTATGTGTGTGTGTGTGTGTGTGTGTGTGTGTGTGTGTGTGTGTGTGTGCGTGCTTGTGTCTGTCACGGTATTGTATGGAATGACTGTGTCAGTGTGTGTGCCAATGTGGGTGTTATTGCCGAGGATAGTGCAGAGCAGAGCACAGCTTAATATCTATGTTTGACATAGAGGCCCATTAATAAGGGCCTGATCCCAGCCCAGTGACAGGACTGCTGACAGAGGAGGATCATGGGGAAGAATCATGTCCTGCTGAGGGAGCCTGGGCTGCAGGTAGGCCCATTCTGCCTTCCCCAGGTGTCATTACGGATGCCGGGGAGGGAGCAGAAGAGGGAGGGCCGCCACTGACATCTACATTAATCACCCCTCCACACATCACCCCCTCCACCTCCACGCACCGCCTCCCCCCCACCTCCAGCTCCTAATCATCCCCACACAGAGACCCAAACCCAGTAAGGGGATACTCAGCCATGAAAGATATCCAGCTAAGAGCTCCCCAAATACCACTCTGATCTGATCATGAGTGATGTTGCTACCTGAACCTCTGACCTGGCACACAATTAAAAACACTTTCCTCTTTCTCTCCGAGACACGCAGGAGATACAGCTTTGCTGAAAGTACACATTTTGTCACTGTCTTGCATGTGATTCATTGTTTGCATTTGAATTGCACCGTAGTTACGTGCAATTAAAATGCAGAAAATGTCTCTGCTGGAATGTTTAGTCTCCGAACCCTCAGTCGTTGGTGCTGCTGTTGTACACACTCCTGATTGTCTTGTTGATATCACCCTCTGCACTTGTGGACCCCCTATTGATCCACAGCTGCGCTTTTATCTACGTAAAAACAACAACACTTTAAACTGAACCACCAGATATAAGATTCTTTATCATTAACAGGAAAAATCAGAGGGTGCAGTAATCAAAGGATACAGCACTTCATATAAAGTGATTACATATACTGCTTAAAGTTTCTCTATTGTTTATTGAATGGTAAAGTGCTGTTTTGTTTTTCTTTTATACTAACAGAAGAAGTAATTTTACTCAATTTTACCACAAAATCAATCGACTTTGGAAATCAACTTGACCGACTGAAGTCATGTCACGTGAGAAGTGGATGAGGATGGATGTGGGTCAACCCAAACAGCCCCCCTAATGAATGGCTCCACCCCAGGATCCATCAATGAGCAGATGTTCTGAGAACAATAATGGTCTGATTATCTGATTGATTATTAGTTTTGATTTGATTAAAGACACATAAATGCACAAAAATGTGACAGTAATTGCAGCATGATTAGTTTAGGTTAAAACAAATGATCCATTTCAGCATCTGGTGGTGAACTCAAATCGTCTTTGCAGGGATGGGGTGCGGGAATAATATGAGAGAGTTTTTTCCTCCATGTTTTTAATATCTTTGGTTTCATTTATGTTGTTGATGCAGCTGGTTCCAAACCACCACTCATGGTTTGCTTTCCCCTCAGTGACGTCACATTCATTTCTGTGTGGTTACACCTCATCTGCATGCTGTCTGTTTTTTCAAATGAAAGAAGTAATCAACCCAGAAAGCCCTGTTTGTCAGTCATATTATGAATGCCACACTCATAAAAGATCGTTGACGTTCTTCCAACATTGGAATGAAGCATAAGCTCATATTATAGTGTCCGTGGCTTAGCCCCGCCATCTCGTTTATGTAACATGCCTTGCCCTGAGTAAACACAGCCCCCAGTTTAATTAAAATAAATCCACTTTCAGCTGATATTTAGAAACCCGCTGAATATCACTGCCTCCGCTACAGATACAGTGATTGAAAGTGGGGAGTAAAGGGCTTGGCTTGGAGGAGAATTACACTCTACTTACTTTTCCATCAATGAAGCCATACACTCAGTTGTTTATGTTTGTAGTGGGCTTTTCTTCTTACTAAATGACCTTTCTCCATTTCTCTTTTTTCCTCTCTTTTATTTCCCTCAAACCTTCAGCAACACTGATGACACAATAAATTTCTGTTGGGCCCTGTGTGTGTGTGTGTGTGTGTGTGTGTGTGTGTGTGTGTGTGTGTGTGTCTGCGTCTGGTTACACACATCTGGTAGAATCTAGGACACTATGGAGGCACTGGGAAGACGGCATTTGCATGCAGCTCACAAACATATTAGAATATGAAGACAAATCACTGTGTCTGGCCAGCTGACAGCGCTGCCTGCAATGGGAGCGGGCTAGCAAACTTGCAACATGTCGCACTTCCCAGTAAGGCCTTTATAGGGCAAGCTTGAACATGCAGCTTGACAAACAAACCATGAGCAGTCAAAGCTATTATTAAAGGCAATAGAAGTGGTATCCTTTGCCAGAGCCATTCTGTCATGGTGTTAGCCTCTATATGTTTTATTGGGAGAGTATGGTTTTCACAGACACCTTCAGGGCATGTACTGTGAGTTTTGAGGGCTTTGTTCTGCGGCTGACTTTGATGTAAATCATAAAAATGGGAAATCTAAGCCTTTAGGTTGAGCTCCTGCTACTGTTGTGTTTGTTCAGACTTGTAGATTGTACCTTACGTCCTTTTTATGTTGGTCCGGTCGTATAAAGACGTGAATTAAATGTTGTGTACAGCTCCAGTATTTGTATGTCATTTATCTTGATAAAAGAGTATTTGCATTCAGTGTATTCTGTGAGAGGAAAGGAAAAGACAGTTGGTAATGTAGTTTTTGGAAAACATTTTTGTCAAAATGATGATTAGAAACTGCTTGAAGTGATACAGTAAATTAGCCGTGTGTAGTTACTGCATATAATAGTGATTTAATTTTACTGTGTGTTACCATGTGTTGAAAGAGCTCTCCTGGTGTGGCATTCATCAAAGCTGCTTAATTCTGCTGCTGAAAATAACACAAAGATTTATGCAATGGCGCTGTTGTATGATATCAATCACGTTGCTTTGGAAAATATTGCTGTTGGTGGCTGCATATGCTGTCTCCTCTCTTTTTTCTTTTTTTTTTTATATCACTTGATAGGGCAGTATTAAACAGCCTTGTGACAAGGATTGCTATGGCAGACACCAGTAGGGGGAGCTCACAGCTCATAGCTCACACTCTTATAAACTGGTGAGGCAATATGAACAGAGTTGCTGGGCAGTGGTGCAGACCCCATAGACAACCTCCCCTTATCTCTGTTCATCTACATGGATTGGGCCCTGACTGTTGTGTCCAATTATATTACCTGAACTTATCCATAATTAAAAATTGGATTTTAGTGATTTTTTTTTTTCACTGCTTGCTCTCTCCCGTCTGTTTCTCCACACTTCTCCTGATAAAAAACATATGTATGCAAAATTGTGATGCAGAGAGGCCGCCTCTCTCCTCACCTCGGTTCAGGGGCTCGGTCAATCAGTCATCGATTTCTGACTGAGATCATATTTACAATTCTGCCTCAGTATCTCAATACAGGAGGATCCATGTTTTTATTTAGCAGCTTCTGTCTCTGCATCTTTAATATGCCCGCATACACATCTGGGCTCCATTGATAAGTAATGTCACCATATTCAGAAATAGTCAATTATTTGGATCGTACTCTCTGCGCTATTACTTTTTTTTTTCCCCCAAATGATTTCCTTCTTTTAAAAAAAAAAAAAGCTGGTGTTGCGTTATCACACATCTACCTGTTGGCTGTTTTTTTTTTCCTCTCAGTGCACTACCTATAGCGCCACAGAAGTCATTGTTGCACCCAGTTATATTGTTGAGAATGACGTGGATATTTTCAGATTAAATTTGTTCTCCAGCATTCATCGGTGTAGAGCTCAGCTTGTGTGAACAGTTCATTTACGTACTGTAACATTTCATGAAAGGCTGCAAATGATGTGTGAACTAAAACCATCCACTCCACAGCGTCAGTGTTTACGTTTATGACTGAAGTGTTTCTTTCTTACTGTAGAAAACGGGGTGACATACTTTCCAGCTTCGTTTTTTTTTTCTTTTATTTATATTTTATATATAACTTAAGTCAGATTCGGACGAAGATCCAAGCTCTATCTCGACTTTCCTTCCCCTCGCCCTCACACACTGTCTCCTCTTCTGCTCTCCTCCCGTGCCGATCCGTGTTATGTGCAAGTGTGTCAAGCTTTTCAGTGTGGTGGGCTGCGGGCTGTGCCGGGTGCGCAGAGACCGTGCGCTCCTAGCGGCTGCAGCGCTGTTGAAACCAAGAGGCAGAAAGAGAGAAGGAGGATGTTGAACTGACTTTGTAGTATGACTGTACATTTACAACGCTATATGCCAGGCTAAGCACATGGGTCTTTTGGGAGCTGGTTCCCTTTCTAATAAAACAACTTTTTGGGAATGCAGTAGAGCTGAAGGCTGGTTTGCAGTCAAGAGTATCAGCCGAGCCATGTGTTGAACTGTGGAGGACATCGCTGAAGATTTGAGAGGTGCCAGAGACGCGTCTCAAGGAACCGAGGACCTGCCGGGGAAGTGCATAGCCTATATACGTTTTCTTTTCCAGCGTGGACTTCCAATTTCCTCACCTGACTGGCTTCTGTGGTTTTCATCCTCTACAGTATAGGTCGTCTTGGAAAAATAGCAGAGATTGCGGATGAACTCCGGGGGCAAGCGGGGATAACACTCACAGACCGAGAGTTTGGGTAGCCTATAAGGTTTGCTGGATATTTACACCCCGAGCTGCTCCGGGTGACCTACTGTTAAATGGATCCTCTCTGTTTCTGGACATTGAAACTGGCTTTGGTCAGTGAGTAGGACCCCCTCCATAACTCCCAGAAACACGGAATAGACTTGGCTGTCATTTCGGACATATTTTATTTCTGCAGTGAATTCGAGGATTTGCGCGCCCGCCGTGGATGTTTAATATGCTAGTATGGGTCCGCTAGCGTTCATCCTTGTTGGTGGATTACTGTATTTTCAAGCTGATGGTAAGTTGCCGATAGTGCTGTTGAGTAAAACTTCTTACATGTATTTAAAAGAATATTCATGTTTGTTTTACACAGACTTCGCCACTTGTCTCTTGCAAGTGTTGATTTGACTCCAATATTGTAAGTGTATGTTGACGGACTGTGATTTGCAGGAGGAAAAAAAAAAAAAATCTTAAATTCTCGGAGCTTTAATGTTTAAAGAATTGTTAAATCGGCAACTACAAAGTTGTCATCAGGGGATAATGTTGATAACTAGACTGATCTTATGAAGATAAGATTTAAATTTAGCCTATAATGCACCAGTTCAGGAGTTATGTTTTTTCTTTTCATTCATTAAACTCAGAGTAATATATGAACAAGCAGTTGAATCCAAGTCTTCCATCCACTGCAGTGTTTGCCTTTCAGGAGGTTAAAATTAGGGCAGAGATGAATCTTTTTTTTTTCTTCCTATGCAACAGATAGAAGAGGCAGCTCCTGTTTTTATATTAGCCTATATATAATATTCATGAATCATATGCATATTATGACATTAGAAGGACCCATTAGAAAATTGTTTTTGAATTTTTTTCCTCTCTCCCTCTCTCTCTCTCTCTCTCTCTCTCTCTCTCCTTCTGTAACTCTGTGACACTACAGTATGATTCTCAGGTTCTGTTGCACTGGCTACAGGTCACCTCTCCCCAGAGGTGGAGAGCGTTCTGTTACAGGGTTTTTGAAAATAAAGGCAAACAAATCCCAAACATTTTTGTGTTTTTAGGCGGCTGGAATGAAAGACAAAGTAGGGTAACACAAGAGTGGTAGGTCAGACCTGTGGACAGGGGGTTCACTGGCTTGGGGGTGTTTGTCAGATGTGTTGTGATACTACACTCTCTGCCTCTGCACTGTAGGAGACAGTGCTGCTGTGGTCATTTGGCTTTAGGATTTCAGTGCCACAATTCGGCATCACGATGTAAGCCGGCTTAAACCCGGGCTGAGGCCGTGCCCCAGTTTATTACTCCCATTTGTTTGATTAAACTTTAATAATGGTGATCTTGATGATTGCAAATGAAAATGATACTGTTTCATTTCTGCAGCCAAAAGCTTCAGCTGTTTATGTCCAGTCGGCCGCTGGCTGCTAAGTCAGCGTTTTTTTTATGATTTTACAAGGCTTGGGCCTACAAGAGACGTGCTTTAATGGGGAATTAAAACAGCCTCAACTGCAGAGTTAATGTGATGACTTACATCAATCACCAAAATAGGAGGGCTTAGGTGACAGAAATCGGGATTGGGATTGGTCCAACCTGTGACTGGTGGAATGATGGTAGTACCTTTTTAAAAATGCATCTGATTTCATTATAGCGCTACTTTTGATTTGGACACACCTTTTCGCATTTGTCGCTCACACACACACAAGCCTGCGCAGAGACTCATACTCCTGACCTGTCACACACTGGGACATTATATCAGCACAATGTTGTGAGGGATGATTCACATTTAAGTTTGCTTTGTATTGTTTGTACAAGTTCGCATTATGTAAAGCCGAGGTTTTGTTGCCACTGAGTGCAAGAGCCTGCAAGGCCCCATTTTTCTTTTCTTTCACCTGTCAACTCCGGCTTTTGTTCTTCACAGCTGCGGGTTTTGGTTCTGAGGCTTTTTAGTTCAAACCTCATGCTTTCTGTGGTTAGCAAATCAAGTCCCCTGTCTGCTGGGATTTGAATATTTTTCTTTTTTTCCTTTCTTTTACCTTTTTTTTTTTTTTTTTGGTGTCTTTCACTCTGCTCAGCCAAACCCACTGGTTGCTAAGCAGTGGCTGAAGGCATTGCTAGCTGCCCAGAGGGAGAGGGTGCACATCTCCCCGGGAGCAGTGAATCTTCCCAATCATTTGCCTGTCACCCTTCTCCCCCCTTTTCCTTGCTCTCCCCCTCCACCCTGGCAGAACTCACCCATCACCCAGCCCCTTTCAGAGGTAATCTGAGGGTCCTTAGAGAGGGAGGAGCTTACTCTAAGAGTCCACTTAGGCAGACAAAAAGGTCTGGAGTTGTATTCACTGGGCAGCATAGCCAACAAAGCCAAGCCTTGTGAATGGCGTCAGTCACTGTTTAGTGTGCTGTGATTAATACTGCTAGTGTGTAAGGCGAGGAGAGAAAAGGTGAGATGGAGACAGAATAGAGGAAGAGAAAGAGTGTGTGTTGGGTGTTGCCAGGGCTGGAAGAGAGAGGGGATTGTTTTGGGACCTGAGTTAAGATTGTGCATTTAAAAAAACAAAACAACAAAAAAACAATGTTAATAGGGTTACCAGACTTTTTTGAGAATCAAGTCGATTGCAGTAGGAGATATTTCCAGGAATAAAACAGTCAGCAGCTGTCTGGTTATCTCTTAAACTCTGCAGTGCTGCTTTTGAAGCTGGATTAGAAGATGCTTTGCATAGTGGACTTGCACTCCTGACCCCGTGCTATTCTGAGATCTCCTGCATGCTTGTGTCTGATGTAGGAGCTGGTGACATCACGTCCATCCTGGGTGACACCCTGAGAGGTGCTGAAATATGGTCTAACTTAAATCTGTCTAAGAGGCTATGGAGAAGGCCAAACTGGGTCTTTGATGCCCTCGACACTGCGCAGTTCTCTATCTGCCATCAGGGCTGTGGTCTCACAAATGCTGAGTCAAGAGAAACTCAAACCTGCAGAGTGTGTGTGTGTGCGTGTGTGTGTGTGTGTGTGCGCGTGTGTGTGTGTGGTAGGGAATGGAAGAGGGACGGGAAAGAGAGAACGAGTGTAATCAAATATAAAAATTGAGAAGAGCTGTTAAACAACAGTCTTTTAAAGGGAAATGGCGAGGACGAGGCTTTATTACCAAAGCACCCTGGAGACTAACAGCTCTGTTGATGGTCATGATTGAATGGGAGAGGTCTGGTACTGCCCTATAATGGGAAGTAAGCCCAGATTAAAATAGTCTCAGTGAATGATGAGTCAGGCAGAAGTCACTGTGTAAGAGCCGCGGCAATGTCTCGTCCCAAATGTGATTGTTCTGCTTGAGTTGGCTGCGTTTAGGCGGTGTTATTGTAATTGCGGTTCATTTGCTGGAATGGGGCTGCTGTAATGAAGAACCTTCATCTGAGATCTACAGGAAGCTCTCCTCTCCTGTCTCCCACGATCTCATCACTCGTCATTGAAGCCGCTTTCCTCTACTTCAGAGTGTACTACTGTTTATTCTCCGATTAACATCAGAAATGAGCGGAGAGTAAAGACAAGAGGACTCGAAGGTGGTGATCGTAACTTAAGAGGAAGTGAATGAATAGGGAATAAAAGCGGTAGGGTGAGGTGAGCACGTGTTAAATGAAAATCAGCGTACAGGTCAGCGTGTGTGTGTCTGTGCGTGTGCGAGTGTGATAAGTGTTACTTGACCAGTGACGCGGGCCTGTCAACTCCTATGATGTTTTACCAGCCGAGTCTGGCTACTCCGTGGATCGCGTTTCATCAGCCATCACTCCACACCTTCAGGACAGAGCAGAAGAGATTTTTGAGCTCTGCGCACTTCTTTAAAAGTTAGAAATACTGCTCTGTGATCACTCAAAAATAAAAGGATTCACAGCTGTTTTAAATTCTGGGGTCACGCTGGTTAATTTTTCTTTACTTTTTCATAGTGCAGAAGTGGGAGAGAAAATGTCACAGTCAGACAATGCGCATGGCTGGTTTTGCTGTAAGACCAGCAGAATGCAGGGGAGGTAATACCACTGTTCCCTGTTTTACCTCCGCTTTATTAAGCATCAGCCAAGCATACCCCTGACATTTACAGAGCAGAAAAAGGCCTAATGCCTTGATGCGTTTGCCTGGAGAAACAAAGACAAAGGAGGATGGGAAATTACAAGAGGAATAGATGGAGGTTTAAGGCCAACAGGTAGGCAGCAGAAAATAGTATGTATATTTCCTCACATGATTTATGTTTCCAAACTTCCTTGGCCTCATCTTGCGCTCTGTGTCCCACGCGCACACACATGCTATCTTCGTGCACCTATCTGTCGTTGGCAGTGTCCATGAGGGTGGAATTCAAACACTGAGGGGCGGTTGTACACCTGCGATGGCAGTATAGTGGGAGTGTGTGTGTAGGTAGGGATAGGGGAGGAGTGATGTGATGAATTGAACATGCTGACTACGAGGGCCTTCACCTGTCTCACACACCTGTACTTACAGAATACACACCTGTGCTTACCCGTCAGGGCCCCAAGACAGATATAATCCTCGCTCTATTCTCTCGCTGCCTGTGTTTCCCAAACAGCCGATTAAGGGTTTGAGCAGGCCAACAGACAGAAAAAAAATGATCTAATTACTCTTATATAACCCCCGATGATTAGATGATAGTAAACGACCCCTTATTGATCAATAGAAAATACCTAGCCAGTGGCTCTAGCCCACACTGCCTCTCTGTAGGACAGATTACTCAGTTTCAGCGCGGATGTGATGAGCATTCTTATCTCCACAAAACTTGATTATTTTAAGAGCATGCCAAAATGCAGACAGGAAGTCAGGAGCGAGCACAGCACAAGCCTGTGCTGGTTCACCTTATCAGTGTTTTTATGTTGCACGCTGCTCTGAAACGTTGTGTTAGGGGAAGCATCTAATTACTCTGTATCCCGTTGCCCTCACTCTCCCCTCTGGTTGGCCGTCTCGCAGCAACCTTCAGATAGAAGGGAGAGAAGTCAAGGTTGAATTACTCACAGAAGTACATACAACTATACAACTATACATGCTCATGGTTGCAAGCCCACACACACACACACACACACACACACACACACACAATGAGAACTCACAGAGAAGAGAAGCATAATAAAACATACTGGCAGGCATGCAAACATGTAGGCACTGTGGTCGCACCAGACGTTTACTTTTCAAGAGGAACGATTGGGAAGACGTTACGTAAATGCACATGAGCTGAGAGAAAAAAAACAAAAAAAACATCTGGCACATACATAAGCCGTATTAATTCACACCCCTGTTTATAATAAGCCGTACCTGTTTATACTGCAT